ACCGCATAAATAATAAATAATAGAATGTGAATCCCGAAATAAGTTCCGGTCGACCTCTGGGTCAGACCACACATGTTTTCAGTAGTCGTAAACACTAGCACAAAGTTATCGAAGGAAATATCTCTACGTCTGTTACATAATAGCATACACCCCGAGTTATTAATCACGAGGTACACCGTATAATGGTAACAGAATATTATATTTTCCTCCGAAGACGAAATAAACACGTGTTCGCAAAATGACCAGCTTCATAAATCTATCTTAGAGTTCTTATCCGTCCGAGCCTATAGAAGTCAAAAACGCTCAAGACATATAATACCGTAGAGACGACGTTTAAGATAATGTTTCCGGGAAACCAAAACGAACAAATTGTATTTATTGTCTGTCGTTCATATGTTCCAGATACTTATACATTGTTGTAACGCAAATAACGTTTTAATAATTTTAACACTGTTCACCCAATATTATATTATTTATATACCAAACCGTGTAGATTATAACAAGTATTTGACTTTTGATTTGTTACAATAATCCTATACGACCAAAGACATATACGAAAAGCTTAGTAACGTTCTACTTAATTTCAATGAAATTATTGTCTGGAAAACTAGAACGACATTTTTGCGTAGAAGTACGTGGAACTATTAGCATATTCAAAATATTTATGTACTTGTGAAATGAAACGCGGGTGTAATGATATGTACAAATACAGTGTACTCATATTTTTCTAAGAATATAACACCGCTAATCGTTGGGCTTAGACGGTTGGCTAATAATAACACACTCTATTAGCTCGTATTGTAGAAATAAATAGCATTTGTTGGGACTAGGGATGATATAATAATAACGTGATCATAAATATTTTCTAGTTTCTATACATCGATTTACCTTTGCCTGCAACTATTTTTATTCATCAAGCACCACGTGAGAAAAAATACTTCATATCAAACTATTCGTCGTTTTTTTTTTTTTTTTTAAGTAACGTTGTACTCGTTTAACGTGTCACATCATATTATGTATAATAAGTGTTACAAACGACAAATAGCACGTACGCGGTTAGATTAGTGACAAGCGGACAAGGGTGCAAATATTACGTAATGTTGGGGCATAAAAAACACTTCGAAGGGCGTTGCAAATAATTTATGTTTTGAATAATTTTATTTCGCGCGCATCACGGTTTTGTACACGAAATACGTTTCTATAGATATTTTTCGCCATTGTCACGCACGTACGGTCGAGTGACGGGTAAGCGACGAGAGAGAGAGGTAAGTGTATTCGATGGATTTAACGCTCCGGTAACCGACGAACACACAAATTGGGAAAATCTTTGGCGGATGTCGGCGAGAACATTTGTCGGAGTCGAGTCGACGGTGCGCGCTTCGCATTGTATTGTCATTCGCGGTGGTGAAATGGGTGCCAAAAGGGACGTGCGTGCGTGTACGACACACGTGTACAAGTAATAATAGAGTCCGTTTAATGCGTTAACACAATGCATACATGTATACAAATACGTGATCGCGCAAACGTCGTCGTCGTGGTATTATACTACGGCTAGTAGCCGAAGACCACAAATTAAACGAAAATAATATCGTCGCGTTCACGTGCACGTCGGGTTGCGCAACGCCCGACGGTCGCGTGGCCGGTTTACGACCGACGCGGTTGTCACTCAAGCGACACCGCCCGTCCGGGATTAAGTAAGGATCCGAACGCTCGTCACGTGTCGCCCGAGCAGCTTTTCCTTCGGCCCTGTGCCGCGCCGCGCCCGACGACGTTTTCGTCCTTCCATAATCATCGTGTACGGTACGGTGTAAAATATACTAACTGCTGTTTTGTTATAACACTCAACCCCCTCCCACCACCCAGCGCGGGGGACGACGTAGCGCCTCCGCCGGAACCTGAGGACCGGGTGGGCGCATCTCTGCGGGTCGCACGACGCTAACGCGTTTCGACCGAGTACGAGTTAAAGTCTCCGTCGTCGTGGAGATTCCGGCGCTCCGAAAGAACCCGGCAGATTTTTGATTTCCGGACGGACGCGAACATAGCTAACCGATTTTTCGCCATCGTAGGAATGCGTATAAAGCAAAACCCGTTGGGCGCCGGACAGCCCCTCCCGCCGCACGGTTGTACCCCTGATTCGCAACACGCGTCGCGGACTTCTAACCGAGAGTGTTCGTTGTAGTCACCGCACGCGGTGTTGGCCGCTTCTCGTGAGCGCGTCGCGCGCGCCCTTCCGTTTTCCGTCTCCGTAATCCGATCGACGCGGCACGGCGGAACCTGACCGGCCATGGTAATGCGTATTTAAATGCGCGCGGGATTTAATCCTTTCGGCGACATCACGGTCGGGCGGCTTATTACTACATCATCGCGACGCCGTCGCCGCCGATGACAACGGACAATGGGAAAACGGAATGACGGCTGAAACAAAACCGAAAACGCGTTGCGGCGTCCCGGTCGCAGAACGTGCATATTGATTCGCGGGATTTAATTTCTCGATTCGGTTACCGTGACAGGGATTCGCGACTCCGACAGCGATACGGACGCGTGCGCGCGGCGCCGTCGTATTATCCGAACGCGCGTACACGCGCGCGCCGTAGCGAAAACGATATTTCGGATTACGAGACCACCGCCGCCGCCGCACGGATTTCGTTGAAATTTTCTCTTCTACCCCCATCCCCTTCAGCCACCCCGAACCCCATTCCATCGTAGAATACCATTAACACGTGCCACCACCGTTGTCTGTCGCGATCGAATTACCTAAACAACTGTACGCGACACCGTGTATTATTGTAATCGTATTTACATAAACATAATATGTATTAGCCCGACCGACGCCACGGGACGGAACGGGTACGTCCGGACGGTTTATAATGCCGTACGCGTGCGTGTGCGCAACGCAAACAGGAATAATTCGCGCAAACAACGCTGGACCGCGTTCAGACGTTCGAGACTAATCGAAATCCGAACTGCGCGTGATTAATACAATTCGTGTTTGTTCAACGCAACGTATTCGCATTATCGCGCGATCGTCGGACGCAAATATTTCGCGTTGATTTTCGAAAACCAATTTGTTCGCGAACGTTCGTCGACGGAGATACCGTTCGGTGGGTGAATTCAATCCGATCGAATATGAAAACCTCTATACCTCCAATGTACACGGAGGTACGGTTAAAACAAGTACAAATCACAAACAGCACGTAGTAAAATGCCGTACAGTATATTTACGATTAGTCATTTTAATTGCAATACAGTTTTCACATAAATTGTACACAATAATTATTTATGTTTTCGTTCCACTTATTATGCACATAAAGTTATTGCACCAAAGGTTTCAGTTTGAATATTAAAAAGCGTGACGAACAACGAGTGATATGGAGTGAATTAATAATGTATATGTATATTTTTTTTTTTTTTTCAACAATGATAAACTTATGTCAATATATGAAAATAAATATTTTTTATTATTTTATTAGATTACACTTGAATAATTTGCAAGACCAAAATCGATATTTTTATGATTCAAAGTTGTATTTTATCTTCTTTAGAAAGACCTTTTTGAAATTTCACATTCAGTTGTATCGTTTATTTTAAATAGAAATATAACGGACAAAAAAAAAAACGAAATCCTCTAATTTATTATTATATAGTTTATGAAATTCATTTTCTCACGATTTTGGCGTTAAAATCACATTTTTTTACAGTAGTGCCCAACCAAAACTTTTGTGTAAACAAATCTATGACAATTTTTTTTTTTGCAATCGTCATTGTGTTATGTGGTCCCTCGGGGCGATCATCGGTGTCAATCATCGTCGTTGATGTTTATCGATCGATTGTAACCCTCAAAATAACCCCAGCTTTTTTTTTGTCTGGTTATAAAACGCGCGCATATTGTTTTTTTTTTTTCATTTTTTTTTTTCCTACTCGTATACATTTTTGTAACGAGTAAATTTATGGTGGGACCGAGCACACCTGATTGACTGGTGCTAATAAAAGGACAAGGGAGGAAATGGTAACTTTACCCCTTTTGGGCTAACATCAGTGTCACGATAGTTTTTTTTTGTTGTGCGTAATTTATCGTTGGAAAGTCATTACACCACCAATAATAATCGGTTTTGTCCCTCTCGATGAGGCGGCAAAAAGGTAAACACACAAACAGCACACGTTTTTTTTCCGTTTTTTATTTCCAGCACATTTATGGCAAATGCGTAAATGAAAATTACGATATCCAACGTAGAAACATATTTGTTCGCGTTTATTTACGACGAATTTTATTTTAGCACAGCTGTAGATTTTTATTTTATTTTTTTTCGACGAACGACTCTTTTGTGGTGATATTTTAGTAAATGATCGGAAAAAAAATAATAGTCATAATAATAATATTAAGCAATAAGAGTGAAATCGAATTCTCAGGACGAACGATCGTACATAAAATACATATCTTATAATATTATGTGACACAAAAATAGTCATGTGTCGATTGCGTTTCACGTGATACAAGTTCGATAACAAAAAAACGTAATACTCAGTTATAACGAAATATATTTTGATTTTCAACACCACTTACTACGTGCGATATATTATTATATTTAAAAACATTTCATTGTTTAATCAATATAAGATTCAACAGTTATATTTTATTAGTTATTCTTTTATTCTTATTTTTGTTTTTTTTTTCAATAAATGAATAAATTATATTTAATAATTTTTAAAATTATAAAGCGTTACAATGTATTATTGTATTATTGAAATTCTCAAAATTAACGTTTAAAATGTATAAAGTACATTCGCATTTGTTTTTCTGGTAAAACAATAATCATACGAAAAAAAAATTAAATGACTACAACACAAATATAACGAAATATGGTAAAAATGGAAACTATACAAATTGTATACTTCAAATAAAACGTCGTTATTGTAATGTTAATTTTGATTGAAAATAATTCAACAATTCTATAGAAAAAAAGTCAGTTAAAATCAATCTACAAATAAGTATAACACTTGAATAGAAAGTTGAAATATTTTGTATTTTAATCATAAAATTATGATTTATACATTTTTTTTGAATATAATTTCTGGCACAACGCACTACAAATTGTTGTCGTTTTGAAAACATTTTATACTCCCCCGGCGTTTACACAATCGTATTTTACGGAATATTGTTCGATTTGTAAAAGAACCACGACATGATTGATGAGTACGTACGCTTCATCAAATCTGAGTAGTTTCAATGCAATATTCGTTTTAAAAGAGAGAATATCGTGTTTTTAAAAACGTGTGTTTCCGGTCGAATTCATTCTTCAGTCCGCGGTTCGCAATCAAATCGCTCGCGTCCGTGATTTGAGCATTCGGTTGATTCGAACGCGCGAACATGCGCACGCAGTGAAATGCAGACGTTTAGGCCGCGAATCGCACGCCAGCGGTTGTGAAAATCGAAAAAAATAAAGTCCACGAATGAAATACATTACACGGCCGAATGGATCCGAAGTCGATTGTAGTATAATTTCTCTGTCTGTCACCGGTGTCCCTCTCTTTCGACTTGTTTATCGTTATTTTGTTTTCGTTCGTTTAACATTGACGCGCGGTGGGTCGCACAGTAATTACATTATTACGGGTTGGTGCGATCGCAGGGCTGCCCCGTACCCAGGATACGCGTATGTCCCCGATACGAGTCAATTTGGGGCCAGAGGCGGGAAAACCAGTTCGCCGACAATAGGACCGTTCGGAATGGGGTGATGATGTTCGGCCTGAACGTCCGATATAATATTTTCGTATTGTCTCCGTGTGATATTGTTTTGATTTAAATTCAGGTTTCTTTTCCTCCATGCCGTTGAATTTATTTCATTAGGCCCAGTCAGAACTGTATCGTAAATATCGTTTCGTCGCTCCCGCAGAACACAACGGTACGTGGCATTATTCGTGCGCGTATTGTATATTTTACCGTACATTTCGTGCAGCGTGCTGCATAACATTACGTTAGGGGCGGTGGATGTGGGGGGGGGGGGAAACGAGATAGATAATAATGTTCTTATACTTGTTCGATTCCTGCGGACGCGTTTCGCTGAACGCACGTTAAACATTGCTATATGCGGTCCTTATCGTTGGATATTTACATATTATTTATATTCGCTGTAATATACTCGTATACATTACGGACTTCGCGTGCGTGGCGATAAACTATATTTTTTTTTTTTAGCATTTTATCCTCTCTACCGTCCGACCGATCGAACAGAGACATTCGTACTGATTTTCGTACCATCGTAACTATTGAAAATGTACAAAAACTATAAAAATGATAACACTACATGTACACAAGGGAGTTTGTGATTTGCACCAAATTAAAGATGTGTAATTTTCACCACTGTGAGTAGTCAAAAGTATAATTTGTAATTTTCACCAAAATAAGTATCTATTTTTCGACTATCGATTATTCGATATTATAATATTCGATTATTCTTCGGTGTCCTCGTCGACGTAGAAAACTAGACTCGAATAACAATAATAATCTTTCTGGATTTTTCGCCTTATTTGGTAATATTTTGATGTTTGACGTCCAATTATTGGTCATATTCGCGCTATATTTATATTAAATATAAATACATAAAAATGTTTTATAGGTAGTGTACATCAGTTTATTATTTTGATCGAATACTTAGTTCAGCTAACCGTTCAGTCTTCCCGTTTAATGGTATTAAATATGTACCAAAGTTTATTTTATTTCAATTAAAAATGATTATATCCAGATTATTCCATCTTCATATAACCGTAAACCACAAAATGCTATCAAAAAGATCTGAAAAATCAAATGCAACATACAATTATTTTTATTAATTTTACGTTTAATTTTTTTAATTGGCTTTTTTTATATTCTTAATAATAAGTTCAGCTATTTTATAAATAAAAACTAAACTAAAGTTATATTAGGATTATAGACATTATTTTTTGAAATCTATATAGTATAAAAATAATTTCAAAACGTTATGTGTTTTAAAATGATATTTTTTGCCTAAAATAATGAAATTATAATACTTTTATCTCATAAATTATTGACTATTCTTATAAGGTAGCTATGAGGTCAACACTGAAGTTCAGTATAGACTTCAGTGTAAGTAAATTAAATAATGACTTAGAATTTAAAACCTAAAATTCTTTGTTATTAGCTTCTTATATTTCGATATATATATTAATAATTGTACGTTTGTACTATCGAGATACTATCGAAAAAATAATAGATTTTAGTTGTGGTTCAAATTACATGTCTTTATTTTAGGGACATATCAAATTACACATGTATATATTTTGGGTCAATTTTGGTGTAAAGTGACTACATCCGTATACAATGCGGCCAAAACGATTAATAACATAAGCGCTTATGGAATATTGATGGTTAATATCGAGTTGAACGCCAAATTTTCAAAAACGGCATGATTTTATCGAGTACACGAGTTGGGTTCCGATAAATTTATGTTGGGAAAACTCAAGTTGGATTAATCAAATGTAGCAGTCTAGTCCAGAAGACAACTCGTGGAAGTTAATTCGAAATAGTCAATGGTTACAATGTTCATTAGATATACTTAATGTATCTCAAGTTAAGAAAGTAATATCAAAGACATATATTTTATAAAACTAAGTAAATTGCTTAGTGGTAAAACAAAGCACATTCCTTCATATAAATATTCCTTTTTCTCCTGTTTCTATGCTTCATTGTGCTGCTGAGCTCCGAAGTTATGTATATACAGTTTACTCTCGATTATCCGCGAGCGGATTATCTGCTGTCTTCTACGGAATTGTCTACATACCTATATGTATACAAAAATATATATATGTATTGTATATTGGCTAATTTTTCTAAATCTCTTACTGGAGGAGAGAATGTTAACGAAGAAAACATTAATGAATGGATAAATTGTGATGCTAATGATCCAGGATTTGAGCGTCTTAGTGTTGAACAAATAGTAAGTGGAGCATTAGGTACAGTTTCGGAAAGTGAAGGTGAAAAAGAAGAAAACGATGAAGTAAATGAAGTAAAACAAGTGAGCCACGAAGCAGCTCTAAACATATAGACGGGATCATTAAATATCTAGAAGAACAAGACAATACAACTCTGTGTGACAAAATGTTATTAAAAAAACTTCAATCACAAGTTAAAAAGAAGAGTTTTCAAACAAATAAACAATAACTTGTGACTGATTTTTTTTGCACATAAATAATTTATAATTTTTATTAATTTTTTATTATACATGTACATACGAGTACATTCATTGTACATACATGTATATCTTTTTTAATAATACATATGTAATAATAATTTTCAATTTCAATTTCCAATTTAGTTTTTATTATAAAATTTAATTTTACGGATTATCCGCGGAATTCATTTATCCGTGGATGTCCTGCCACCCTATTCCACGGATAATCGGGAGTAAACTGTATTTCACTCTGAATTTCAAGTAAAGTGTCGTCGAAAGATTCGTTTTCGCGTGGTGGAAATTATTATTTCACACAATCGGTTCGGCTTAGGGGAGGGTGCACGAAGTAACTGCTGCGTACTACACACGTTTATCGCGTTATACCACATGGCACCATCGAGTTCATAATTATATATAATAATGCACTCCCACTAATATTATGTACTGTGTTGTGTGGTTCGCGGTCAAGAAAAACCGACGAGAAAGCTTATTATATTTTCTCCGCGCACAACAACACATACAATTACTATAAGAGACTCGCCGCGTGCGAGTGGGTAAAACGTGCGTATGACAGTTTTTCGGGGCGAGTTTTGTCGATCGCAGTAATAATAGCAATAACGTATTATAATATTATAATGACCACCGCTGGACATGGAATAATAATATTTCGGCCCAAGGAGGGGTGTGCGTACGCGGACGGGGTGGACGTGACGTGCTCGTGATTGTGCCGAATACTCGAAAACTGCCTCAGGACGTATATTACACACATATATATATATAAATACGCATGCAATAACGTAATATGGTCGTATAAAGTATATTTATTATAATAATGCGATTGTCGGACCGGTCAAGCGGATTGTTGGACGATTCTGCGGGAGCCCTCGGGGGTAGGTTTCGCCCACGTACGTGATGACCACCACCACCGAAGCCACCATACGTCGTAAAAACCCGCGCGATAATAATAATTATTATGAACACGCGAGCCCGGGAAACGTGACTAGTCCGTAATCGGCGTGAATGTTTTTCCGAAGGGTATTTTCTCGGGCGAATCGTTCGGCCGGGAGATCGTGTAATTAAAAAAAAAAAAAAAGAAAATTAAAAAAAGAAATTCCTCCGGAAGGATTGACTAATATACGCGGGCCGCATTCGCATCTCGCCCCAAGTGGTTTTTAATAATATTCATATTTACACAGACAACGTTTCAAGTTTCAAGTTTTACGCATGCGGATATAATAAAGTCATCGTGTATACCGTATTATAAATGTTTTAATTATTTTTTAGGTTAATTGAGACACAAGCTATTCGAAAGGGAATGAGTGCGGGTGGGGGAAAAAAAGTAATAATATAAAAATAATCCTCTATTTTCATTATGGTTTTTACGTATTTTGATATAAATTATTTAATTATCTAACGTTATCTCTTATTTTTATCATTTTTTTAACAGAACCGTTTGTTTTGAACTCTTTGAACTGAGTGTTTTGTACGCTGCACGTGAGCACAGATTCAGTCCCTACTTGTCTCGGACGCGATGTGATCGGATCGTTTCGCAATGACAATGATCAATTACCACACTTAAGAATAATAGAAACGCTAACGATGCAACTTTTCCGTCCAAAAATCCGAATTCCGTCTTCGTTTTCCGGAAAAAGAAGGGCGGGGACGGGTAAGAATACGCGCGACCATTCGGAACTTCGTTGCGTCAAAAGTAATATATTATAGTTTGCCACCGAGTGCATTTTCGGGGGCTTGACGTTTCACACACCGTGTGCGTACGTATAAAATATGTCCGTGAATGGTGATCGTCAATAGAAGAAAAATGTAACAAATGATGGTCGTTCACGGTGCACAACGCTTTACCGGAAAACGAAACAACAACCGTCTTGACCGTTGTTCGTATCGCACAATATTGTTCGGTAAACGAACACGGACACATTTATTTCCATTACACTCATATGCAATATTTTTATCCCTCGAACATTTTCTATATCATCATTGTGCGAAAGCATACAACACGCACGTGTATCTGACTTAACCCTGCGTACGTCGTAAAGGCGGTTATGGCCTTTGTACAGATAAATGCACTATTAACTCGGATACGAAGTAAAATTTTACCGCTGATTCCTCGTTGATATGAACAAAATTTGGATGTATCGTTTGCCGACTGAATAATAGCAGTTAAAAAAAATATTCAATTGAATAAAATCTTACACAATGCTTGCGTACATTAAATTATAAATCGCTTCCAGTCGCACTTGCGAACTAGTGAAGCATAATAACGATTTTCCAGTACTCGTATATCCTATACTATTGTAGTGCATATTACGGAACTGTTAAAATTTCGAATATGTATTGCACTTATTAATTATGTCGTTCATGTTTTATCCAGGTGCGTCACAGGTGTGCTACGGTCTTTTTATTTCACGTTTGACATTTGGTCGGGGGCGTACACAAAACAGTTCGACATTTCATTAATTCCGGGTTTTGGCGTTTAGCAGGTAACGGCGTATTATATCGTTATAATAGCGAGATTACGGTTTTCGGGCAGGTATACAAACCGTCCATTTGACCCTCGAGACTCGATATCCGTCGCCCACCCCCTCGAAACGAAATCACTTGTCCGATCGTCTATCGCGAAACGAAATCGTGTTCGAACGTAATAAATCGGATTTCAGTCGATGTCAAATTAACCCCGACGCTGCAGAGTGTGACAACACCACCACCCGGTGTATATAAGTATATACAGTCGTATTATTAGCGGCACTTAAGCCGTTGCCCTTGCCAGGTGAACGAGCGCGCGGTAACCCATTAGTGGCGATATCACATCATACGTCCGCGCACACAATATACGTATTATTCGTGCGCGCAGAACGATATAATAACATAAAAATAATTATTCATACGGCGCTTAATGTGTGTTCTATCGCGGTGTCACGTACCATATGGCGCGCGCGAACGTAATAGTGTACTCAAAAACTCACTGTTGGGCGCCGACCCTTGTTCAGGTGAGTCACGGCGCATTAGCATAAATAAAAACAAAACGAAAAAAAAAAATAATGATAATAATAATAATAATAATAATGAATAAATACGAAAACGGCTGCACGTGTTCGCGGCGTTCGAAGACAATTTGTACCGGGGCCGGCTTTTAGTAGGTTAACTGCGAGTCATCAGTTTAGCGAGACACCCGAGGGACCGTGCGCTACTGTCTTGGAGACTTCCAATTATCGTTACGACTGATGCACGCCGCGTATCCATACACATACATATATATTTAAACATCGGTCTAATGCGATCGGTTGGGTTTCCTTTTGTTCGTTCATTTATTGATACGCAGGGACGTAAAAAGCGAACGAAACAAATCGACGGAGACGGGTACGCGTACTTTTGAAAAATATTCTACGTTAAATTTTTTATGCGTCCCTCTGTCACCGCAGCCGGAGCGGAAGCCGACGCGTTCATTCGGGAATCCCACGAGTGCAGCGTAGTACGTCACGAAGACGACGACGTTGTTCGGTTGTTTTTTTTTTCCCCGGTGAAAAATAGGTCCTTGCCGCGATAATAATAAGGTATATCCATTACAGGGAGGGACTATTGATAGCCA